AGTCGGACACGACTGAGCAACTACAGCAACAACAGGGACTAAACAACAACAATAAGTAAATATTAGGTCTTCATAGACTTAACAGGAGTCAGCAAATATTTTTCTGTAAAGGGCCAGACATCACAACTCTGCCATTGTAGAGGTGTAGGTGCTGTTGTAGGTGACATCACAACTCTGCCATTGAAGTGCAAAAACAATCATAAACACATAAATGAATGGGCATGGCTGTGTTCCAATCAAACTTTCCTTACAGACACTAAAATGTGAATTTCATATAATTTTCATGTCCTGAAATGTTAGTCAATGCCCAGAAAGCACTGATTTTTTCAAGTATCAAAACAAAAGTAAAATCCATTTTTAGCTTATGAGCCATACCAAACGAGGTAACTAACTGGTTCTACCTTTCCGACCCCTGCTTTAGAAAACCCTCCCTTAGAAAACCCTTTCCCTTGTGGCTCAGCTGGGAAAGAATTCGCCTGCAATGCAGAAGACCTGGGTTCAATCTCTGGGTTGGGAAGATCCCCTAGAGAAGGGAAAGGCTCCCCACTCCAGTATTCTGGCCTAGAGAATTCCATGGACTGTATAGTCCATGGGGTCGCAAAGAGGACACGACTGAGTAACTTTAGCTTTTCACACTTTCCCTGTAGGTAACCAGAGCCTTGTTCTGAGTTTAAGCTGTCATCTTCATGCAAGGCACTGATGCTGGATTGAAAGGAAAAGAAAAAACATAACATAACTTAAAGACTATCTCTTGGCTATTCCTGAATAGATTATCATTCTGACTTTTCTGGCCATTGATGGAGCCAAAACCAGTGTGTAAGTTTAGAATTGCAAAAAGGATAAAGAAATTCTCTTCTAAAATATTCTTGTTTACCATCAGCCTTAAAGGGATACGAGTGTTTCTAGTTTCTATCTGTGTTCATTTGAAGTTTGCTAATTATTTCTTCTATTCAAAAAACTGTTGTAGAAATAAAGAACAATACTTGGCATTCCTTAGATATTAAAACATTTTTAAAATGCCATTTTTTTCTTCCTTTTTGCTGGGTTAAAACGCTGCTGTTAGGTCACTTCTGGCTGTGCCTCTCATCCTTCATGGAGTCTGGTCACAGCGCATCAGAGGCTGCCCATCCCTCCTGCCCCAGCCTGTGTCCCTCACTCCTCACTTCCTTGGCACCAGTCGCTAGGGCTCCTCCCTCTCAGGTGATCCTCCCTCCCAGTCCTGACCTTTCACCTACTCAGCCCCACCCATTAATCAACAAACATCTTAAGCCCCCTTCTCAAGACTTCCTGGCTGAGCTCTGGCTCATAGATGTTTCTCTCTTCTCTAAACTCCCACAGCACTTAGCACAGGGGTACACAGTTTAGCAACAGATATTAAGAAGAGGTGGCAAGAATACACAGAAGAACTATACAAAAAAGATCTTCATGACCCAGATAACCACAATGGTGTGATCATTCACCTAGAGCCAGACATCCTAGAATGCAAAGTCAAGTGGGCCTTAGGAAGCATCACTATGAACAAAGCTAGTGGATGTGATGGAATTCCAGTTGAGCTATTTCAAATACTATTTCATATAAAACATGATGTTGTGAAAGTGATGCACTCAATATGCCAATAAATTTGGAAAACTCAGCAGTGGCCACAGGACTGGAAAAAGTCTGTTTTCCTTCCAATCACAAAGAAAGGCAATGCCAAAGAATGTTCAGACTGCCACACAAGTACACTCATCTCACAGTATAGTAAAGTAATGCTCAAAATTCTCCAAGCCAGGCTTCAACAGTATGTGAAC